TATTGCTAACTTAATGCATTTTCTGGTTCACACAATACTTTGACAAATAAAATAGGACTGGATTAGCATCCAAAAACTTACATTGCTGTTATCCTGTTGTCCAGATTTTTGCAGCTCAAAGCTGGTAGCCATCCCTTAAATTATAGAGTTGGATTTATGTAACATGCAAGGCACAAAAAATAAAACTAAGGCAAACACTAACCAAACACAGCATACAGTATGGAGAGAAACATTAGGTAGTTTTAACCTGATATAGTTATACATGTTGCAGAAATGTTGACTTTATGGGTTTATGAAAACAAAATAGAAATAGGAGGTGGGAAATAGTTTCTCTCTTCCTCCCTCTTATTTCTTTGGAGTGTATAATCCTGTGAATAGAATACATTTGGTCACACTGATACAAATGTATCCATCTACAAGGAATATATTTTAGGAATACATGAAGCTAAATAACTTGCTCACCTCAAACCACTGATCTATACAGCTCAGTTATAGTGTGGCTGGCTATAGCACCATAGAAACCTTTTGAAGTCTTTCCAGGCAAGGAATTGCAAGGAATGACCCTGAGACACGATTCTTTGATTTCTAAATACAGTTTAAGCATCACATTTAAACATCAAACTTGTTATGTTTAAATATCAAAGGGATGATATTCTTTCCAAATGGAAGCAAATTATTGTAATACTACAGTATAATTCAAGATGAACACATTAATTCCTGCTATTGGTGAGATATTTTAAAATCAAATTGCCAAATGTTCCCGGTTTGTGTGTTTTTCTGGGCACACAGAATTAATACTATCATGATGTTATAAATCACCCAGAGTCACTTGGGTGAGATGGGCGGTGTATAAATTTAATAAATAAATATAGAAATCATTAGGGCCAGTCGAAACAGGGGCAGACTTGGTTAGTACTCGGGTGGAAGATAACCAGGAAATTCCCTCACAGTGGATTAGATGGGGAAGCTGAAAAAAAAATTCCAGGAGGAGGCAAAGGAAACCACTTCAGTATTGCTACCAAACAGGAATCAAATCTAAGTTGCAATTTAAAACATATTCTATTAATCTTTAAATTATACTCTTGGACACCATATCTTTTTGTTTTCCTACTGCAGATTTAGATAAAGCAGTATAAATGATTTACAAACATAATTTTACGAGATTTTACAAAGTGAACCATGTTGTACAATTAATGTAATTAAATCATTAATACATTTCTATGCTAAACTTTATAAAGAAGCAGTTTATTGGCATTATCTGAGGAACAAACAAGAGAACTGGCGGTATATTATGCAAGCCCAGATTGTTTGGTTAGTTTATAATTCTGTTCCTCCTTGCAAACCCCTAAAATGAATTAATTTTATAATCAGGTTAAATATATTATCCATTATGCAGCTCATATTATTTGTCCAGTCTCCTTAATAGATTCCAGGCAAAGGATGTAGGCTGCCTTCTGTTGTGTTGACTGCTGTCTTGCCAGAAGCTTTTCCTACCATTCTCATTTAGCCTGTAGGATCAAATTGTCGTAGATTATGATGATAGGTACAGGATTTGATTCACTAATGTTCTCTTCTGAATCAGAGGTCAACCTTCCCTCTCCATTCTCCTCTTCTATGTTTAGATTTCTTTGAGAGAGAAACGAGCACAGGAGAGGAGAATGCTATTGTATTCAGGTTCTGCTCTTCCCTGGAAGTTGGTTGCCAACCACCCATGTCCAGCATAGGACTTTGATTTTCAAATTTGCTCTCAAACTGGACATTTGAGTCTGCCATTCGGTGTGGCTGCTTATTATGGTTATTATTATTATGGTTAGGGCTGCAATCTCCAACTGGTTGATAGGGCATGCTAAGATTGAGGACGACATTAACTGTTTACTTTGGCAACTTCAAGACTCTGTTATAACCAAGAAAAATCAAATCTAGAAAACAACTATTTCCTTTAATTAGAAGTAACTTTTGGACAATTCAGTCACATAAACAGCTCCCTCAACTTCTTTGAAGACCATTAAAGGATGAGAGCTTGGTACTAAAATTAGTGTTTGTTTCCATCAATTAAAACTCCTTTGACCAGTGGCCAGCTCTGATTTTTAGCCTAAAAGGCTTAATTATGCTGAACTTAAATGTAAGGCCAGGTGCTTCCCCCTTCTTCCTTGTTGATGACTCTGCTGTGACCAATAAGTACAAAAGCTGCAATGTTTACAGATTTTATATTTCCTTACTCGGACATTACATTGCATGGTGTGTGTGTGTGTGTGTGTGTAGAGTAATGTGTGTGTGTAAAGTAAATGTTCATAGGATTGTATACTCTTTACTAGGAGTGTACTATATAGACACACAGATAGCAGGAGGGAGAGAGAGAGTTTCAACCATGAAGTTAAAGAAATGAAGTGCAATGATTTTTTTTTAAAATAAACAATCGGAAAGAAAGGTAAAATAGTTACCCTGGTTTTCAGCCTGAGTGCCAGTGACAGAAACATCTGTCTGTGTCTTGGCATGTTATAAAAATTGTTGGTCCTCTCTGGTCTAGCCCATGGCATTTGGAGTGTCTCATCCAAGAACCATCCAGACCTTCTCAACCTTGGAAATAGTTTGGAAGATATGTGAACTTCATTCCTCACGCTAGCTGGTAATTCTGAGAGTTGAAATCCATGTATCTTTAAGTTATACCATGTACAGTATCTTTAAGAAGCACTAGAAGAATCAAGTTTAGCCAGATTTTGCCACCTGCTAAGGCAAATGATTAACACAATACCAGAGTTGGAAGGGACTTTAGAGATCTTCTAGTTCAACCTCCCTGCTCAAGCAGGAAACCCTGTATTATTTCAAACTGTTGCCCAATCTCTTCTTGAAAACCTCCAGTGTTGGAGCATCCACAACATCTGGAGGCAAGTTGTTCCACTGATTAATTATTCTGTCAGGATGGCCTCAGGGACTAATTCTGTTCAAAAATGTGCCAGTAGAGTATGAGGTACATTAGATGAAGAGAATTTCTTATGACTCTGTATACATTTTACTTGGCTGCCTATTAAGTAGATAAGATTTACCCACTAAGAGCTACAGAATTCTGCTCAGTCATATTAATCTCCTTTCAGAGAAATAAACTATGTTAGTTTGGATACAGCAATGATTGTAATGAGGTATAAAAAAAGCTTCTGGCACCCAGCCACACAGGTAAGGTACAAAAAGGAAGAAAATGTAGTCCAAGTCCAAGTTACTTTGTTGGGAAAGGCTGGATCTGCTAGTCTTTTAGGAAGCATAGCTCTTAAGTTTATATTAGGTTATTATTACTATACGGCCTTTGCTCAAAATCTTAGCTGATGTAGCAGTCTAAGAGAGAGAGAATCTAAAAGAAGCAAAAAAAAAAACAAACCAAGATAAACGCTTTGGACCAAGGAGCTTCAACTTCATTGGCGGCTATGTAAGTTCTCCCCTCTTTATTTTTGTTCTAAGAAATGTGAAAGATCCTTTGTTATACAAGACTGGACATCTAATAAATTTACATTTTTGAAAGAAAGCTACACCAAATAAACTTGGGACTAAATTGGGGGAAAAGATCTGAAGCAGGGGTGGGTTGCTGGGGTTCAGGAGAATCTCTGGCTAAGATTCTGTGCAATTTGGAGAACCTCCAAATCCCACTTCTGGCTGGCCCCTCCCCTCCCAGGAGTTTCCACTCAGCCTCTTTTGGATGCAGGTAAGTGCAGGGTGTACACAGAGGCTCGGGGAAGGTGAGAAACAGGCCTCCGGGAAGTTTGGGAAGGCCGGAAACAGGCCTGTTTCTGGCCTCCAAAGCCTGGGGAGGTTGTTTTCACCCTCCTGGAGACTTGAGGAAAGCCTCCGAAGCCCGGGGAGGGGAAAAAGATCTCCCCCCCCACCGCGGTGCAGGAGGCAGACTAGGCCATGCCCACCATACCCACCCACACCCAACCAGGCAGAGAACTCCTTGCTAAAATTTTTGAAGCCATCCCTGAAGTATTCGTGGATCAGAGCAGAATAAAGCACTGTACCTGATGTGTGAAAGATGATCTCCCAATCTTTTCCAAAAGAAGCAAGTTTATTACTGAATTTATTTTGTTGGCCTGGTACCTTATTTTCTATTTAGTATTGAATCTCTCTTTGTTAATATTATATTTTGTATTTTTTATGTTGGTGATCCAAAAAGAGACCAACTGAATCAGGAAAAGTGCAAGAAAAAGCAGTGTATCTACATTTTGTGTATACTCATCCATTTCATTTAATAAGACTTTTATTCCTAGCTTACCATACAGGAAAATGTATGGGAATACCATACAGGAAAAATAAATCTTATAGGCAATAAAATAGCCAACAATGAGTTAGTAATTCAGATCAAAAGCATTAATAGGCAACAATCCACTATTTCTTCAGGAAAAATTCATAAATGCTTGTCATGTACTGCTGATTTAATTTTCTATTATACACCACCCAAAGTCACATTATTTGAGCTGATAAACCATATAAATTATGTAAATAAACAGACTATACCATGTTCCATGTGGAACATGGATATTGCAAACCATGAATTAACCACTCCATCTTCTTCATTCCTCAAAAAATCGGTCATAGGATTAGGAGCTCCATTGATGCTTGTCACTGACATGCAAGTCCATAGAAACACAACATCTAGAGCAGATCATGAGAAGATTCAGGATTTCCTGAAGGATTTACCAACCAACCAACAACCCTCCCCTCCTCCAAATCCTTTTTTGCAATGGATCTTCCAAAGGTGGGACTGGTATGAGAGGGGAAAAACACAACAAATATCTGCAAGGTCCCCACTGATTGTTAAAAAACGGGCTTTTCTCCCAATTCTTGGTTAAGGTGGACGGCAAATCTTTAATGTCTTAAATCTTTAATCTTTCAAAATTAATTTGAATATTTCCTCTTCTTGGCATACATAATTCTTCTATTACCTTTACTGTATTTTTTAATGTTGCATTAAAGCCTTTTAAATTTGAAATAAGTAAACAAATAAGGACCACATCTGTTTTATAAAATGTTGCTTATTTATTTGGGTAAATTTGGAAATCTACGTTTATTTCAATGAAGTTAAACATGCAGATTTGTATTAACTGGACCATTTCTTCTTCAGCTTTATGCATGCAACATCTTCAGTTACATTCCAGTCTACTTTTTTTGCTCTTTTTCCTTTTCTTTGATTTTTGCTCTCCTAAATCATTATTCTCTTCCTTAGATGTTTCAAAGGAACATTGTCTTGCCTTTTGATTACCAATTTGAGATTCATTATAAATAAGATCATTACTGGTGTCCAGGCGTTTAGATTTCTTTCTCTTTTTCTTTTTCTGGGTGTCCACTTCATCTCTGCTTGAATCTAGTATCCCAGTGCAGATAATCGTTGGTTCTCCAGCCTCATCCTGTGCATGTTTGTGTCTTTTCTTCTTCTTCTTTGTCTGGGATTCCAAACACTCCAACTTCTCAACCATCGCTGGAGGAGAATTACCTGGCTCTACTTTGGTGCAATGTTGAGTTTTCTTCAGTTTTTTCATACGCTTGGCAAAATATTCCTGCACGGTAAGAGTGCTGGTTACAGTATTGCTCCCATCTATTTGGTCAGGTGGCACGATCACTTTTTTTGAATCTTCCGCTAGAAAGTCTGTGGTAGCAGCATCATCCTGAGAATGAAAAAAGAGAAGGTAGAGGTCAGAGGAGTAAATTTAATTAAGTGTTTAATTTTTTTAAAAATAAACTGTTTGATATTGGATCAGATAGGGTTTTCAGAAGATCCAACACAACTTCATCCTATGTTTTAAGATGGAATGCATGTATCTCAGCCCAATCCTGCTTTATTTCCTGAAATAAGACAGTCCTCCCTTGCTAAGTTTAGCACGTCAAATCAGATGAAGCCCGAAAGCCACACATGTTTACAGAAAGGAATTGTCAAATGTTCTAATTTTGCTGTTTATTTGTGAAGGCAAAATCTCAGGGGTTTGTTGAAGACCCAGTGTCTTTTTAAGCAACAAGTTATCCACCCAATAGGAATGAGATAGCCTTTTATTTCACAGAGCAAACTCAGTAAAAATAAACATAGCAATCCTGTAAAGACAGACCAACTCAAGAGCTGGAATACTCAACACTGCAAATCACTTAAAAATTCTTAAGCAGAATTCACTCAGAGATTTTTAAGTACCCCAAGAATCACTAATGGAATTTCAAGAGCAACATTATTTTTGTTCCACAGAACTTGGTCCTTGGAGTGCATATCCATCAGGAAGTTGCCTTTTCACGCAACTCCTGATTAGGCAGATGTCCACAATCTCCCTTAGCTGGATCACAGTTAAACACACTTGAAAGCTGCCAGTGGTGTACCTGAAGGGCACATTACAATGTGCCATAAGATGTGAATTTTAAATAATCCAAAATTAGGATGAACTTCAGAATGCAATATATAAATCACATCCAACAGAGGAAATACTTGATTTCATGTACATTATATGGAGTTTCCAGTATGACATAGGCTTGAAAACATTTTACTTCAAATATTTGGATATCCTGTATTATTGTCTCCTATTACCCTGAAGAGAGTGATATATGTATGAATGAAAGACGTGCTTCTTCAGCCATTATGCAAAATGAAGGATATCTCTCCCACATCTCTCACAATGTGAGAGATCATTCTGTGTATATTAGAGGAAGACATGTTTTCTCTGCCCTGGTTATCATGTGGTCTCATTTCACTGGCAAATGGAATCACAAGGTTTCCCCCAACAGCCTACAATTGCCCTGATGTATTACTTCATACTAGAATTACATATCCTAATTTACAACAATGAATGAGAAAATATAACCGGAGACTGATTACTGAGGTAATGTGAATATTCTTGGCATCAAAGATCTCATCTTATGATGCCTTGTTCAATCTTAAGGTTCAACTGGGTTGAGGGTTAGGATGCTGCGAATTTCTACTGCACGTCATAAATACTATATAACATCACCCTTTCCCCTAAAATTCAAAAAAATCAAAAGAATAGGTACATATGTGCAAGCAGATGTTTTTCTGCCTTTCTTTTCTGTGGCAGGCCTAATTATGCCAAAATGAAGATATTTGGAAGTTAAAGCTCATTTATGCCACTTTCTACATCTCCATTCACCATGCAACAGAAAGGAGAGATCTCAATTGTCTCAGAGAAAAATGGCTAGTAACAGAGCAAGGTTTGTCCTATTGTGGCTCCTTCAAATGAGAAAGTTTTGCCTAGCCACTTCCTCATTCTTTCTCCTGTGACAAACAAAAACTTTTTAAAAGAAGAAAAAACAAAAAAATATCTTCCAATACTTCGTTTTGCTGTCGTTTTTTTTTCTTGTGAACTTGAAACAAGATGCCTTTTAAAAGTTGTTAGCCATGACATAACCAAAGTTAAGTACTCCCTAGTTTCAGCAAGAAGGAATTATTTGTTTGGACTGCTCTTGAAATCAAGAAATGTTAACTTTTTGATAAAAAATATGGGTGATATTTGTGGAAGTAAACCTCCTTGATTTCTATCTTCTATAATATGTTTATGCAAAGAAAGAACAATCTGGGGTTTATCTTTTGGATAAAACATAGGTGTGCAAGCAGGCACAAAAATATTTACTCCTTTCTTTCTTTTTTTCATTATATTATATAGAAAAAAATCCATCAAGGCTGTCACCAAAGTTTGCTTCAACTAGGTAAAACAACCTTTAGCATTTCAGGTATTAAAACAATAAAAAAAGCTTTGTGAATTCCATCATAATTGAGCATAGGTGAAAGGTACAGAGACAAGAATATTAAGCTAGAAGCACAAAATATTAAATCAATTCTAAGTCAGCAATCAGGCACATGTACTGGACTGACTGTTGCCTAAAATGGAGAAGTTCAGAGAAACCCATGATGCCTAAAAACAAGAACGCAAGCTAAACCACTCCTGTACGGACAGGAATTTTAATAACCACGGGCCACTGCACACAAAGTTAGCAGGGCATGGAGACAGGTAAAGGCAGTGTCAGCTCCAAAGCAAACTCTCACACCGCATTTCGGGGACTCTGATGGAGAACCCGTTAATCATTTGGAAAACGTAGGTGCCAGGAACACTCCCAACTGCTTCGCATGACCAGCTTTCTCTTTGGAACCCTGGAAACCAGGGAAAAACAATGATGGTGATCTGAACAGTGCTGTCAGATTAAATCAGCTGCTATTTACATCAGGAAAAAATGTAGTAATTGGAGGCTGCCACCGAGAGGTGAGCAAAAAGGAGGAGTGGCCCCCTATTCATTCAGATGTCCCTCCTCTATCCTCAAACCTTGCTATGGCTTCAGTGTTCATTCTTGACACCAGATCATTAAAATCTGGGGCCTCTTTTGCCTGGTTGCCACTCAGAGGTAACAGCTCAGAGATGGTATCTCCAATCCTGTTATTTGGTGCCCAAAGGGGAAGAAGAAATCCTAAATGCTCTCTTAAGACATACAACATGCTAGATTCTGAAGAGAAGGCAGTTACAAGAAGGGGGCATCTGTTAAATCTGGAATGACCAAGTGGGTTCATCAAAGTTGTAACTGATAATGAAATGATAGATTCGCATGGAGGTATGGAGAACTGTTTTAGAGAATATGTGAAAGGATGAAGAGACTCAGGTTCCTGATGAAAAATAGTGATCACTTTTTACAACAGCTTCCTTTTATGTGGATGCTAAAGAAAGTCACTATACGTTTTTAGTATCAGCTTTGTAGAGATACAAAAAGTCTATAAATCTAATATTTAAAATAATCAATGAGCGATGTAGATATATTTGATTTTAGACAAAATACATAGGATACTCCTGTATGAGCCTACTATTGGGTGCATAACTTCATTAACTTGTAAAGTTATTCCTTGATACTGTCAAATAGTTTATTTTGAAATATAAAATTTGCAATTAGTTGAAATGCTTTTAAACAGTAACCATTCAATTATATAAAGAACAGAGCTGCTTTCTTATCTTAACAAATCAGTATGATAAACTATGGTATTAAAACATCTTAATCAATGATTTGGATGAGGGAATAAATGGGAACTCATCAAATTTGCAGATGACACCAAGCTGGCAGGAATAGCCAACACTCCAGAAGAGAGGCTCAAGATACAGAAGGATCTTAACAAACTTGAATATTGGGCACTATCTAATAAAATGAAATTCAATGGTTCTACATTTAGGAAAGAAAAACAAAATGCACATGTACAGTATAGGTGGTACCTTGTTCAATAGTAATAACTGTGAGAGGGATCTTGGAGTCCTAGTGGACAACCATTTAAATATGAGCCAGCAGTGTGCAGCAGCTGCCAAAAAAGCCAACACAGTTCTAGGCTACATGAACAGAGGGATAGAATCAAGATCACGTGAAGTATTAATACCACTTTATAATGCCTTGGTAAGGCCACACTTGAATACTGCATTCAGTTTTGGTTGCCATGATGTAGAAAAAAATGTGGAGACTCTAAAAAAGAGTGCAAAGAAGAGCAACAAAGATGATTAGGGGACTGGAGACTAAAACATATGAAGAACAGTTGCAGGAACTGGGCATGTCTAGTTTAATGAAAAGAAGGAGTAGGGGAGACATGATAGCAGAGTTCCAATATCTCACGGGTTGCCACAAAGAAGAGGGAGTCAAACTATTCTCCAAGGCACCTGAGGGTAGAACAAGAAGCAATGGATGGAAACTAATCAAGATTGAAGCAACTTAAAACTGAGGAGAAATTTCCTGACAGTTAGAACAATTAATCAATGGAACACCTTGCCTGCAGAAGTTGTGAATGCCCCAACACTGGAAGTCTTTAAGAAGATGTTGGATAGCCATTTGTCTGAAATGGTATAGGGTTTCCTGCCTAGGCAGAGGGTTGGACTAGAAGACCTCCAAGGTCCCTTCCAACTCTGCTATTGTATTGTATTGTATAAAACCAAATAGAACTTGATGCATTTTACATATACTGGTTTCCCTTTCATTTAAGTAATAGGGAAATGCATTCACTATGATTGTTGAACTGGGATTACAATATTTTTTTGAAGGGGATTTTATGTTATTTTCAAAGTTTTCAATATTTCTCTGAATATGTGCATATGTGTATATAAATGAAACTTTCTTCAATATAAATAGTAAATTATAATGAACACAATCCTATGAAAATTAAGCATTTATATGGCCCCTAAATTAGATGAAAATTTGAATTGCACATCTCCTATACAGGTAGTCTAACTTCCGACTACAATTCAGCCCAAAATTTCTGTTGCTAAGCAAGAAAATTGTTAAGTGAATTTTTCCAATTTTATGACATTTTTGTCAAAGTTAAGTGAATCACTGCTGTTGTTAAATTATTAACATGCTTGTTAAGTGAACCACATTGACTGTGCTTGTCAGAAGGGTGCAAAAAGTGATAACGTGACCCTGAGACACTGAAACTGTCATAAATATGAATCAGTTACCAAGTGTCTGGATTTTGATCAAGTGACCATGGGGGAGTGCTATAACCGTCATAATCTGGACAACTGCCCTGTCAAATTTTTCAGTATTGTTATAACTTCAAATGGTCACTAAATGAACTGTTGTAAGTCAACCACTCCCTATATTAAGAGGAATTAAAGATGACTTGAGCAACTTTAAACAACTGTTAATACGTGGATACTTC